GAAACGTGGTTGGTTGGGTTTTTTTTTTTTTTTTTTAAGAAAAAGGAAACATCTTCCTTATATTAAGCAGAAATTTATATCCTCTACTGTGCCTATCCAATAGCGTCAGCCCAGTCCCTTGGAGGTAAACTAATGTTGCTTTCCGTATCAGAGACCTTCTGATTTTTTTTTATTTATTTGACAGGGAACGACAGGGAGGGGGGGAGCCCAAGCAGGGGGAGCGGGGGAGGGAGAGGCAGGCTTCCCGCGGAGCGGGGAGCCCGACGCGGGGCTCGATCCCAGGACCCGGGGACCGTGACCTGAGCCGAAGGCAGACGCTCAACGACGGAGCCACCCGGGCGCCCGGAAGACCTTCTGGTGTTTGATCCCATTGCCCTGTATCCTTTCTTCTTCAAGCTACAGCATCCCCAGTTCCTCGTACAAAACAATGATGGCTCCCTTTGCCACCCGATGGCTAGCCTCAGAAGGTGCCATCTTGTGTATATCCATCCTCTTCAAGGCTTCTTGGTTTTTGGCCACCTCACTTCTGAATCGCCTTCCCATATTTGGGGGATCTCCCACTTTGGACTCTTCCTCCACTGTAGAAGCTCCAGAATGCCAGGCATTTACTTCCAGCCCCCTTTACAGCTAGGGCAGAGCCCTACAACCGAGGCTCCACCGGAAGCTGGCGAGAGGAAAACCTGGGAAGCACACGGAATCCATTTGGGTAAGTGACAGAGCAGCTGCTCCACCTCATTTCTAGCTGTAAGAAGCGGCAGTTGTAAGAGCGGCGTGGTATTAGCCATGGAATCAGCAGCATCTGTACCCAGACGAAGCAGCTGGGGGTCTTCATTAAAAACTGTCATGTGCCGTAATTTGAGGTATTGTTCCTGACTATACAGCTTCCAAGCTGGCTTTCTCATCCTCCCAATTATTTAAGGAATTCTATACTCTATTAACAAAAATCCCCTTTTTTTTCACTTAAACCAGTCAGTTTTTGTTTCTTGAATCTTCTTTTTTTTTTTTTTTTAGGTTGTTTTGTTTTGTTTGAGAGTGAGAGCGAGAGAGATCACAGAGGGAGAAGGAGCACCACTGAGCAGGGAGCCCGATGTGGGGCTTGATCCCAGGACACTGAGATCATGACCTGAGCCAAAGGCAGATGTTTAATTAACTGACTGAGCCACCCAGGTGCCCCTTGAATCTTCATTTTGACCAGATTTGTCCACAGGCACAGCTTAAAGGGGGAAAAGTTGGTCCCTGCCAAGCCTCTGTAACCTTTTCCAGACCAGCCAGAGAGCTCAGGTACCAAAACCTGTTCTGACGCCCAATCACAGTATAACTGAACAATAACTTACAGTGTGGAATAAGGCTAGATCTGCTTTGAATTAGACTCCAGCCTCCACCACAGCTATTTCAGGCCCTAGCCAGTTGGTGGGAGCCTCACTTAGCCTCCTAAAATCACCCTCCTTGGTATTTCTTTTCCTCTCCATCTCACCTATGAGAGGGGCCAGAGGGGCAACTCTCAGCTGGCCCCTCTCCAGCCTGGATAGACACACTGTGCTGGAGGAGAAGGCATCTTGCAGATCCTGGCCACAATCCGCAACAAGGCTGTTGCACTCCAGCCAGTTGCCCTACATCCCCACCCCTCCTCACATAGAAGCTGTACGGGGATGACTTGGGACCACAATGGCTGTGCTCTCCACGTGGTCTCCAGAGGTGATGAGGATCTCCAAGGGCATCAGAGATTGGATACGCTCTCCTTTGTCCGGGATGTTGGAAAGGAAAGTGGAGTTACCTTTTAATCCTGGAATGAAAGACTGGAAAATATCTTCTCCTGCCCCTAGTCTGTCCCTCAAGACTGAGAGCCTTTTGTGCCAGTTCCAATGTGGACGGTATTCAGGCGTCAGAGTGAGCCGCCTTTCAGTATCTCATACCTCAACCATCAGCGCCTCCCTGTGGCCGGTCATAGAATATTCAAAAGCCTGGAATGGACCCCATTTACAGGTAAGGAAGACCAAAGCTTAGGGGTTGGCTTGCCACCTCAAGTCTAAACTCTACCTGGTTTCCAAGAATGTCTGTAATCAGGCCGCATTCTCCCTTTCCATTCCTTTCTGCCTTCATGGTAGTAGTCTTCAAATTTTTTGCCTCTCTATTCCTAAAAGAATATATAACTATGCAGCTCCTTGCACATTTTTAAGGTGACATCTAATATTTTTCGCCATCAGTTTAAAACTTATAATGTAGAGAACGGATGTCATTTCTACTATTCTATAAATGTTGACATTTTCACATAAAACTGCATTACTACCCTTTTAAGTGTATTGAGTAAGACCCAAATCCCATAGTGATGTGATGCTTACCATCACCCATCTTAAAAATACATGAAGAAGCTCTTCGTTATCAATAAAAAATGTTACATTGTCTCTTTTTCTCCTTGTACTTGCATTTCCATTCCAGTTTCCCCTCAAAAATCTGATCAGTGTAACATATATTTTGCTTAAGTCTTTTATTGATTACTGTATTGTACATCTCTGCAACCAAAATATGTATATATGTTGAAATTAAAAAAAAATTTTTTTGGATTTTATTTGAGAGAGAGAGAGCATGAGTGGGCAGAAGGAGAGGGAGAAGCACACTCCACACTGAGGAGGAAGCCCCACATAGGGGCTCGATCGGGGTGGGGGGGGGCTTGATCCCAGGACCCTGGCAGATGCTCAACTGACTGAGCCACCCAGGAGCCCCAAAATTTAAAAAAAAATTTTTTTTAAGATTTATTTATTTATTTATTTGAGAGAGCGAGAATGAGAGAGAGAGAGAGTACATGAGAGGAGGGAGGGTTAGAGGGAGAAGCAGGCTCCCCGCTGAGCAGGGAGCCCGATGCGGGACTCAATCCCGGGACTCCAGGATCATGACCTGAGCCGAAGGCAGTCGCTTAACCAACTGAACCACCCAGGTGCCCCAAATTTAAAAAAATTTTAAGTTTCATGTAATTATAAAACTCTAAGTGAGAAATGTTTTTCTGGTTTGAGTGGCCATTGTAAAATTAGTAATACACAATTGATCAAAACAACATAAATACTATGATTCTTGTAAGTATTACACATAAATACAAAGGATACATTGGAAATATATTTTTTTTAAAGATTTATTTATTTATTTTGAGAGAGGGAAAGAACATGAGTGGGAGGGGCCGAGGGAGAGAGAATCCTAAGCAGACTCCATGGAGCCTGACGCTGGGGCTCGATCTCATGACCCTGAGATCATGGCCTGAGCCAAAACCAAGAGTCAGACGCTTAACCAACTGTGCCACCCACGTGCCCCTAGAAATGTATTTCTTTTTTTTTTAAGATTTTATTTATTTGACAGAGAGAGAGAGCACAAGCAGGGAGAGTGGGAGAGGGAGAGAGAAGGAGGCTCCCCACTAAGCAGGGAGCCCAATGTGGGGCTCGATCCCAGGACCCCGGGATCATGACCTGAGCCGAAGGCAGATGCTTAACTGACTGAGCCACCCAGGCGCCCCTGGAAATGTATTTCTTAATGAATGGATGGGCTGCTTTTTTCCCCCAGGTAGTTCATATGTTCCTAGTTGAATATAGTTTATTGCTGGAATGAGAGTGCATTCAGTGTCAATTCCAGACCCATGTTTTCATTTACACTACATTTTCATCTACTTATTGTAGATGGGAATTGAGAATTTTGATATAGCAGTGGCATTTAAATCTCAGTTGTTTACCAAAAAAAAAAATCACAAAGATCTACTATGAAAAGATATTGTTAATTATTTTTCAGCTGACAATGCAATTAAATCCTTCTAGGTTTTGAAAGCAAAGATTTAGAAACCTCCTGACTTGAAAACAAAAAGAATTTATTGTCCAGCTTTTAAGCCATTCATTTTCTCAGCACCCACAGCCAGCACCAGAATTGCAAATTGCTGCTTTGTTTAGTGTTCCAGGGCATTCCCCCCTCCCCCTCAGCCAGTCCACCACTGAAAGATAGTGGGTGAGGGAGTGGTGAACCTTGTTACAGAAAGTAGGGAAGGCGACAGTGAAAGAGGGCAGCAGTTTTGGGGACCTCGGTGGCATAGTCGGTTAAGCGTCCAACTCTTGGTTTCGGCTCAGGTCATGATCTCGGGATCATGGGATTGAGCCCCGCATTGGGCTCCTCATTCAGTGCGGAGTCTGCTTGAGATTCTCTCTCCCTCTCCCCCTGCCCCTCCCGCTCTCTTTCTCTCTCTCTAAAATAAATAAATCTTAAAAAAAAAAGAGGATAACAGTTTTGGTAAAGAGCACACTTGGAAGTTGAGGATCTACAAATTGATTTTCTTAAAACTCCTTGTACCCTAGAGATATCCTACCTCCAATCAGAGGACCATTGACTTTCCCACCAGGGGAGGGATTCCCATCCAGAATCCAGATTTCTTGTGCTCATAGATGTATTATGCTTCTTTCTACTTAATGTTTCCATGTTCTCCTACTCTCCTTTCTTATGAAAAATTTTAAGGACCATTGTGAATCCCAGCTCCTACCTAATGCTTCTGTCCCTTTCTTCCGAATTCCTACTGCCCTTAGAGTTTGAACCTCACTTCCCATCCCACAATATGCATTGTGTTATACTGGTAATTTTGTTTCATGACACTTTAAATAGAATGTAATGAAGTTCCTTGCAATAGGGCTTGGTGTCCTTGCAAAAGAAATGAACTTTGATATCAGCTAGCACATAAGCTGCAGGAGGGCAAGGACGCCATCTGTTTTGTTCTGTGCCATATAGCCAGCACCCAGCCCAATACCTGGCATATAAGAGCTTAATAAATAATTCATTGAATAAATGAATGGACTTGAGTTTGAATCTTAGCTCCTTCATCACTTTTAAGCTGCGTGACACCCAGTCATTCCTTTCAGAACTGAATCATTCAACAAGCACCTGTTGCATGCCTGCTAAGAGCCAAGCATTGTGCTGGGCACTGGGGATGTAAATTGAAGATATGTCTGTACCCTCAAGGAACTCATGCATCTGGTTATGGAAGCTGTTACATGAAGTGAGGTGGGAAGGACAGCCAGTGTGCAGACCCAGGGGAAGGAAAAGGAGGGGAGCCGTTAGCAGATCTATAAAGCAGAGGCACAGGAGGCTCTCCTGGGCTAGGGTGTCACAGGTCTCATGTGCCACATGTGGGAACGTGAACTTGACCTGACCGATTAGATATGGGGCAAGATGGAGAAGGAGTCGAAGGTGAGCACACAGGAGGAGGGTATGAAGGCCCTAGCCGTGGCAGTGGCCATAGCCATAGAGAGGGAGGGATACCTATGAGAGGGTGAAGGAGGATCTACTGGATTTCATGATGGGCTGTGTACCACGAGGGGGATGGGGGGGGAACACCCTAGATTCTCAGAGCTCTGTCTTAGGTGACATGGTCAGTGAGTCAAATAAAATGGGAAAAGAAGTGAGTTTGAAAGGCTTTGGGCAAGGTACCTGACCTCGCTGGGCCTCAGTTTCTCCACATGTAACATGAGGATAATAATATCCACCTCTCAGGGTTGCCACGAGAATGAAATAACTAGGGAAACTGCAGGGCATAGACTAGATGTTCAGTAACCACTTCTGGATGATACTAATAATAGTGCTTGCTCGTGGGCCAAACACTTAATCCTGACAACAACTCTATAAGGCAGGTACTATTCGTATCCCTGTTTTACCAACTTGGGAGCTGAAGCACAAGCCGGTGAGCAGACTTGACCAAAGTCACCCAGTTAGTAAGTGGCAGAGTGTACTTGCCTCGCCCCTGCACTCCACTTTACTCTTTCTGGGACCCAGAACTGGACTTGAGGCAGGAAGAGCGAACATGGCAGGAGAGATGGACGGCAGACCTGATCAAGGGTTCATTCCAAGAGCAGTTTTTATTTGGAAATGCGCCTCCACCACCTGGTGGCAGTCTGAGGACACACGCCGTTGGCTTGCTTATTTGCTCTCTTTTCCAGCCCGGGGCACAGGGTCCTTGGGGTTAAGGCACAAGATCAAGTTCTCAAGAATCAACATCCCAGACAGCCTCCGTGGTCAGGAGCCTGGGCTGGTGTCAAAAATGAAGTAGCCTCCATTCTGGACTGTGTCATGGTTGGAGGGCCGAGGGGGCTCCTGGCACCAGGACCTCAGCTCCCTCTTCTGCGAGGGCTGGCATCACCCACAGGCCAGCTGTGGCCAGGTTCTGGTGGGTATGAGGTTGGGGGGTGGGAGGGGATAGCAGAGGCTAATTTTCTGGTGCTGGGTCCAGTTTATTTTCCTGAGGGGGAGAAGCTGAGATGGGAGCCTCATCCCCACCATTGAGGGACTTCTGCTCGTTGCTGCTGGGCGAGGGGGTCCGGTTGCCCTGGGATCCCCAGCGGGTCAGGCGCTTTAGGGAGGAGTCGCGGCGGGCAAGTAGATGCGGCTGGAAGCCTGTGAAGGAGCTGCTGGTGGTGGGACGCTTATCTGGCAGAGAAAAAGCAACTCCAAGTAAGGACAAAGGTGCATGCGCAGGGGAGAGGTTGAGGGGCCTTGCCTCAGCCCGTGGGGGAGAGGAGAACCTCCTGACTTTCAATACCACACGGCCTCTCTAGATCTGAAAGGATCCCTTTCTCCCTCCTTTCCCCCACCCCACTCCAGAGAAAGCTCCAGGATCTACTCCTTCTCACCTCCAGGCTCAATTGGATGCATGAGCCGGTTCATCTGAACATTCCAGTGTTTCACGTTGGTGCTGGCCTGGCGCAACTTCTGCTGGGCAGCCTGTGGGGGCAGGGCCAGTGGAGAGCGGGTCAGAGACACCATCCTAGACAGGGTATCTTGACCTTTTCAAGTTTGTAGGCCTCTTAGAATCTGAAATCTCCCCCAGAAAAACTCATATACGTTCTTAAAGAGTTATGTAGATGAACAGTTAGCTTCCAATTTCAGGGGTCTCATGGACCCCCAATGGGTCAAAAATAGTCATCATTATAGTTTCCATTCATTAAGCAGCTAAGATGTACTAAGTATATTTATTATTTTAGTTAATCTCCAGAGCATAAGTTAACAACAAAGTGCAAAAGAAGTTAAGTGATGGGGTGCCTGAGAGGCTTAGTCGGTTAGGCATCTGACTTCGGCTGGGGTCATGATCCCAAGGGTCCTGGGATCGAGCCCCTCGTCAGGCTCTCTGCTCAGGGGGGAGCCTGCTTTTCCCTCTCCCTCTGCCTGCAGCTCCCCCTGCTTGTGCTCTCTCTCTCCCTCTCTCTCTCTGTGTCAAATAAAATTAAAAAAAAAAAAGAAGAAGAAGAAGTGACTGGCCCGAGACCTATGTTGAGCTGTAAACCACCGCACCACACCACCTCTCCAGGGTCAAATGCAAAACCTCTACTCCACTGTCCCCCCGGTCATTAGCAGTGGTTGTGGGTAAGGGAATCACGGAGGAACTTTCCCTTTCTATGTTACATGTTTCTGTGTCCAGATTTTTTACAATGACCATGTCAGCCAACAAGGCAAAATAAAATAATCAATATTAATAGAATATCAAAAATTAGGGGCTCCTGGTGGCTCAGTTGGTTAAGCGTTTGCCTTTGGCTCAGGTCATGATCCCAGGATCCCGGGATCGAGCCCCACATCTGGTTCCCCGCTCAGCCGGGAGTCTGCTTCTCCCTCTTCCTCTCCCTCTGCGTTCTCCTTCTCTCTCTCTCAAATAAATAAATAAAATCTTTAAAAAAAAAAGAACATCAAAAATTAAAACAACAACAACAACAACAACAACAACAAAAACCCTCTTCTATGGAGATCCGAGCCAAAGTACAGGGAGAGCAAGGTAGGCGCTTGGAAGAGTATGAGAAAAAAACTGCCCAGATTCATAATGATAAAAATAGCAGCTAATGTTTCTTCCCCACTTGCTACATACTAAATGTCAGCCATCAGCTCCTTTAGTCTTCAGACCATGCTATTTGAGGCCCCTTTCCCTGATGAGGGATTTGAAACTCAGAGAGGTTAGGCAATTTGCCTGAGGTCACACAGCGAGGAGACGGAAGAGTTAGGGTTTGAGGGAAGGCTCCAGATCCTGCGCGTGAAGGCGCTCACCCCGCCGGCCTCCTTCCTATCCCCCCACCCCCCACCCCCCGGCCTCACCTCTACGTCTTCGTCGGCCCTCTGCCGGTTCTGCCGCACTTCCTCCAGCTGAAGCTGGGCTTGGTGCAGGGAGCGGCTCTGCAGCGCCATCTCCTGCTGCAGTTCTTGCTTCTCCTGCTGCGCCCGCTCGATGTAGCGCTCCTGCTCCTCCTTCAGCTGCAGCAGCTGCTTCAGCTTCTCCTCCTCCTCCTGTAGCAGTCTGCGGGCGGGCGGGCGCTGCGTCGTCTCCAGAGCCAAGGCACCTCGCAGGCGCTCAGCAAGTGGGACGCCGGGGAGTCAGGGGAGAGGAACGAGAAGGGGTCCTACCGGGTCTGGGCTAGGCGCACGGCCTCCTCGTCACGCCGAGCTTTCACCTCCAGGTGCAGGGCCTCCTCGAGCCTCTGCTGCATCTCCTCCAGCTCTTGGATCCGCTGCCGCTGCCGGGCAGCCTCCTCCTTCTTCAATTCCATCTCAGCCTGCATGGAGGCCCGGGCCTGTGCCGGGACGCGGAGCCACGTCACTGGGGGCACCGCGTGGGGTAGGGGAGGCTGCAAGTACACTGCCCTTTCCCCAGGGCTCCGCTAGGCCGGCCCACATAGCTCTCTCTCAGTGACGGTCTGGGGAGTTCCTTCACGTCGGGATTCCTTCCTGATCTGATCTCTTTGTGGGAGCCTGGCTAGGTCAGATAATCGTCAGTGAAGAGATGCTACCTGGGGGGGGGGGGTCTCGTCACTCCCTGCCTAGCACCAGCCTTAATAACTATTATTCTGTGTTATAATATTAGGTGTTATGACTGTAATTAGGGCCAGTGCTAGGCAGGGAGTGACTATAATTATAGTAATTGTTGTAACAACTAAAGGTGTTTCCTCATTTGATCCTCATCATACCTCTAGGAGCAGTTAGCATCAACACGTCACTGATAAGTGATTGGGGCACAGAGAGGCTAAGTAACTTGCCTGAGATCACAAGTCTCCTAAGAGGCAGAGCTGGGATGGAATCCAGGTGTCTAACTCCAGCTCTAGATCTCTTAAATCCTAAATCTGATTGCCTCTACATGCCTAGTCCGCCTCCACATTCGTAAATCCTTCCTTCCTCCCATCCTGCATTCCCCAAACTGGTTTCAAGTTTGATCAAGTCTAGTCCAATCTAGTCTAGCGTTGGTCCAAACTTATCCCTGACTAGGGGGTCTTTAGCACCATCTCTGTCCAAGCCCCGCCCCCAGCCAAGGTCTCCAAACCAGGCCCCACTCTACACCTATAGCACTCAGCTCCGGCCCCACCACATTCTTTCATCTCAAGCCATCCTTCGGCCAGGTTCCTGCACCCCCACGCCTTCCTCATCCCGTCCCTGGCACAGGTTCGGTCCCGTACGCATGTTTCCAGCGCAGGGACTCTGTCCCAAGTCCCTCATTGCAAGCCCCGCCTCCACGCACCTCCTTCCCAGCCTGCGGGCTCCGCCCTCGGTCCCGGCCCCGCTCCCGGCCCTCCAATCCCGGGCCCGGTCTCTCCGCATCCTTCTACCCGCCGGCTCCCGCCGGGTGCGGGCCCCACCTGCTCCGCCTCGCGCAGTTGGCCCTCCAGCGCCTGCTGCAGCTCGCGGTGCTGGCTGCGGCGTCGCTCCTCCTCCTCCTGCAGCAGGTGCTCGGCCTGCCGCTGCGCCTCCTGTAGCAGCTCCAGCTCCTGCAGCTTCCGCTCCTTCTCCTCCTGCAGCTGCTGCAAGCGCAGCAGCTCTTCCTCCTTGGCCGCCCGGCGTCGCTCCCGCTGCTCCCGCTGCTCGCGCCGCTTCTGCTTCAGGTCCTTGTGCAACGACATCTTCCCCTCGGCCTGCAGCCGGATCGCGGTCTGGATGGCTGCGGAGGGACAGGGACCGGGTCGGCAGGGGGCTAGCCGGGAGCAGCGGGGTCCTCGAGGCGGCCCACCTCCAGAAAGGGGCCTGAGAGGTGGCTCGAGGCAGTCTCCAGCCTCTCGCTGGGCCATGTTGTCACCCTTTTCACTCGGCAGTGTTGTCACCCCCTGAGGCGTAGCCAGACCCAGGCCGCCCAGCGAGCACTCACTCACCCGCCGTCCATTCCTGGCGCTGGCGCGTGTCGGAGGCGCTCATCTCGTACGTGCGGGAGGCTGTCTTCACACAGAACATGCAGCGCTTCCCCTCTCGGTCGGGCAGCACCTGGGAGAGGGCCGGTGGCCCCACACGGGCTGGCTTCACTGGCGCCGGGGCCACACCCGCCGCCGGGGTGCTCCAGCTCCATCCCCTACCCCCCATTGCTGACCGTCCTCCCGGAGTACCGCTCCCACTCTGCCAGGGGCCTCTATGGCCCGGCGTGGAGGTTAGTTATGGGTGCGCTTGTGTCCCTACAAGTCTTGTGGCCTCTGCTCTTTGGAGGTAGGGCGGGGATGTTTTCATCTTGGTGTCTCTCCATGGGGCCTGGCACCTAATCCGTTACTGAGTGTGGATGCAGATCATTCGTGAACACCGCCAGTGACAGGGTCCTCACTATCCAAATCATTCATTTTCACAGAGCCCTGCCTGTTGGGAAAGTTCTCCATTCATTCATTCCACAGATCTTTTGGAGTGTCTACTGAGTGCGGCTCATTGTTCTAGGCATTTAGGATACTGAGGTGTGCCTAACAGACCAAATCCCTGCCTTCCCTAAGCTTATATTTTAGTGGAAAATAACAGCTACCACGTATTAAGCTTCTTCTTCTTCTTTTTTTTAAAGATTTTATTTTTAAGCAATCTCTGCACCCAACATGGGACTCAAAAACTCACACACGCTCCATCAACTGAGCTAGCTGGGGACTCCCATGTGTTGAGCTTCTTACACTCTAGAGGCTTAACTAGTGTTTTATATGCATCATTTTATTCATAACACTGAGACAACCTTGCCAAACGCATTATTAGCTCCACTTTACAGAAAAAGAAACTGAGGCTCTACCAGGTCCAGGAACATGCCAAATTCGCACTGCCTATTAGTGGTGGGGCTGGGCTTTCTGCCTAAGATCCATGCTCTGTCCTCAGTGACACCTGTTTCCTTATGTGACAAAAATGGAGAAAACCTAGGATGGCTATAATAATAATTTTTTTTAAAGATTTTATTTATTTGTGAGAGAGAGAGAGAACGAGTGGGGGGAGGGGCAGAGGGAGAAGCAGACTCCCTGCTGAGCAAGGAGCCCAACTCAGGACTCCATCCCAGGCCCCTGGGATCACGACCTGAGCCAAAGGCAGATGCTTAACCGACTGAGCCACCCAGGTGCCCTATAATAATAACTTTTAAAAAATGTAAAATAACACATGTTGATGAGGATATGGAGAAAGTGGAACTCTCATACACTGGTGGTGAGAATGTGAGATGGTATAGCTGCTACGGAAAACAATTCGGCTGTTCCTTAAAAAGTTAAACATAGGTCGCCTGGGTGGCTCAGTTGGTTAAGCGACTGCCTTCGGCTCAGGTCATGATCCTGGAGTCCCGGGATCGAGTCCCACATTGCGCTGCCTGCTCGGCAGGGAGTCTGCTTCTCCCTCTGACCCTCTTCCCTCTCATGCTCTCTATCTCTTATTCTCTCTCTCTCAAATAAATAAATAAAATCTTTAAAAAATAGTTAAACATAGAATATGGTAATTACCATATGATCTAGCAATTCTACTCAGTATGTACCCAGAGAAATGAAAACATATGCTCAACCAGAAACTTCAGCATGGATGGCCAAACCAGCATTATTCACAATAGCAAAAAGATGGGAACAACCCATTGTCCAGCAATGAATGAGTGGATAAACAGAGTGTGGTCTATGTACACGATGGAATATTATTCAGCCATAAAAAGGAATGAATTCCTGACCCATGCCACAACATGGATGAACCTTGGAACATTGTGCTGAAGAAAAGCCAGTCACAAAGGGACAAAATATTAGATGATCCCATTCCATTCTAGTTACCCAGAATAGGCAAATTCGTGGAGACAGAAAGTAGAATAGAGGATACCAGGGGCTGGGGAGAAAGGAGGGATGAGCTATTTCTTAATAGGTAGAGAGTTTTTCTTTGCGATGATGAAAAAGTTTTAGAAATAGATAGTGGTCACTCCCCCTGCTTGTGTTCCCTCTCTCGCTGTGTCTTTCTCTCTCAAATAAATAAATAAATAAAATCTTTTAAAAAAGGGGGGGTGGCGCCCGGGTGGCTCAATCATTAAGTGTCTGCCTTCGGCTCAGGTCGTGATCCCAGGGTCCTGGGATCGAGCCCCGCATCGGGCTCCCTGCTCAGCGGGAAGCCTGCTTCTCCCTCTCCCACTCCCCCTGCTTGTGTTCCCTCTCTCGCTGTCTCTCTCTGTGTCAAATAAATAAATAAATCTTAAAAAAAGGGATAGCGGTGAGGGCTACACAACATTGTGAGTATACTTAATGCTATGAATTGTACAATTAAAATGGTTAAAATGGCAAATTTCATGTTAGGTGTGTGTGTGTGTATTTTTTTCAAACTACAGTTTAAAATAATTGTTTTAAGCCTCCTAAAATAAAAACAGACAGAGCCGAAGGGAAAATGGGGGGGAAGGACGGGAGGAGAGGGATGTGGAGAAAGAGGGACAGAGAGAGTTTCCAAAGAGAATGGAATTTGGGTGAAGGAGGAAAACTTTTCAAGAGGACTTTTAGAAAGTTCACTGTGGGGGTACCTAGTTGGCTCAGTCGGTTAAGCCTCTGCCTCTTGATTTTGGTTCAGGCCATGATGTCAGAGTCATGAGATGGAGCCCTGCAGTGGGTGGGCTCCCCACTGAGCGTGGATCCTGCTTAAGACTCTCTCTCGGGGCACCTGGGTGGCTCAGTCAGTTAAGCAGCTGACTCTTGATTTCGGCTCAGGTCATGATCTCGGGGTGCTGGGATGGATTCTCCTTCTCCCTCCGCCCCTCCCCTACCCCATGCTCTCTCTCTCTCTCAAGTAAGTAAATAAATATTTTTTAATAAAAGGATTCTCTCTCTCTCTCTGCCTCTCCCCTGCACCCCTCCCCCACCCACTCTCTTTCTCTCTAAAAAAAAAAAAAAAAGCTTTGCGTGTAGTGTGAGGCATAAGCCATCTCCTCTAAAATCCTTAGCAAAATCCACATTACTCACCAATGGCTTTAGTATTTGATTTGCGGTTTTGGTTTTTTTTTTTTTTTTTTTTTTTTTTAAGTGCTGGCATGGATGAGAATGGCCTTGAGGCACCCAGGTATATTTGGGTTATGGTCATCTCAGCAGACATTTGCCACTGTGGCTTTTCTCCATTCACCCTCCTCCCGAGCCTCTTGCCTTTACCCCACACTGGAGAGCCTCTGGGCCCTGAGTTGTGCTCCACCCCTTCGCCTGTCCCCCTCACCTCCACGCAGCACTGTGCATCCAGCGGGATAGTACCCCTTTTCTCCTTGCACTCTTCACTCCCAAAATAGCAGAGGGAGCTGGGCTGCAGCTGGAACCAGCGTTCTGCCCAGTTCCTCCGCAGGTGCCCTCGCTTCCACAGGTAGCCCTGCCATAGACAGAGCAAAGTCAGAGGCTTCCCTGCAACCCCCCACCCCTTAACCCCGCCCCCCGCACCCTGCCTTGGGGTCCTCCCCAAGCTCCCAGCTTGGCCTGACCTGCTTCAGGACATCTTGGATGAGCTCCTGGTAGACTTCGTGGATGGCCATGCTGAGAGTGTCCCGCCCCACACCTCGAAGACAGCGCCCCGTGTTGAAGAGCTCCAGGAACTGCCAGACGCTGAGCCCTCCAGTGGTCTGGGCTGCCTGGGATTCCTGGGCCAGCAGCTCTTCCAGCTCACCCAAGCCCACCTCCAAGCTCATGCTGCTGAGCACCTTCTTCAGCAGGTATTCCACCTGGAGGAGGGGGGAGGCCTGGGGACTGCAGCAGGCAGTGTTGCCTGTGACGATGCCGGGGTTGGGGGGGCCCCTCTGGCTCCCAGAGCCTGGGCGGAGGTGACCAGGGACAGGGGGTAGGGGAGCCAGATGACTAAATGTTGGTGGAAACCAGGGTAGATTTGGGGGGCGGGGTCCTGGAGGCCCAACCCCAATTTGGGCATCCCCTTCCCTCCCCAACTTCCAGGCCCACGTCCCACTCCTCCATGCTTTAAATCAAGGGCAGGGTGAAGGTTGAGGGCTGGGGGCCAGGCAGAGGCAGCAAATCACAGAACACGTCAGAGGGGGTGCAAGGGCCCTCTCATCCAATACCCTTACTTTGCCGATGACCAAACTGAGGCCCAGAGAGGGAAGTGACTCGTTCTAAATCACACAGCAAGTTGGTGGCAGCCAGAACTCGATTCATATCTCCTGAATCCCATCTGAGTCCTTATTCCAAGCCCAAGCCCCAACCCCGAGGATCCATCCCCTATGGGAGGGCAAAGGGATTGGGGGTGGAGGTAAGCAGGGTAGGGACAGGAAACCTGCTACAGAGGAACAGGAAGTGGTGGTTGGGGTACATCCTGCTGCAGTTTGTTCATACAACATGTTGATCGCGGCCATGAGCAGCCTTCTGGCCTATGAGGGGCCCCCTTACCCTGATAGGCGGGGGTCTGACGAGGGTGCCTAGCCAGGTGCCTGTGCAGATGGACACACATCCCTTTCCTGCCCCAGCAGCTTCTTGGGACACTCTTTTTAGGACTTTCACTCTGGAGGTTACCGGGTCTCCAACTGGGAGTGGGGTGGGTGTACCAGCTCAGGAATTAGGCATCTCCCCTCACCCTTCCCACAAACAGAGTCAAGGAGATAAAGCTGAGTGCGGTTAGAGGTGTCAGGACTTCTTGTAAACACGGAGGACCCCCTCCCCTCCACACCCTAAGACCTAAATTCACCCTGGCATCTTCACAGCCACCAAAAGGGCTAACAGATCAGGAGAAGGCTGAATGGATGGGGGAGAGAAGTGGAAGGGGGGCGGGGGGGCACCTGCCCTGGCTTCGTCCATGAGTTGAAGAGGTAGGGGCACAGACCCCAGGCCTCTACTCCCAGGATGCTCCAGAGAGGGCTCTGGAGCCCGGAGCTGGGTCGGCCATGGCTCTTCCTCCATATTATAGAAGACAGGGAGGGAAAATCTAGAACCGGGGCCAGATCTAGTTGCCTCTGCTGGAATAATGGGCCAGGCATCCCAGGAAAGTCTCCCTTCCCCTCATCTGGTAACCTTCTCAGATTGCCACAGTGCCTGAAGTCCTGGCATTCGATCTTAAATGTTTTCATTTTTAAATGCCCGGTAAGGTATCAGGCTACACTCCTGTGTAAATAGAATCTGTGGTCATTTTCCTCCTTTGAGGGCCAAGAGAGCCCTGAAGAAAGTGTAGTTTTGGTTCTCCAGGGCACAGTGACTCTGATACAGGCAATTCTAGGCATCTGGAGACAGCTGGGTGCAGAGAGGCACCAGCGTGGGGAGACCAAGAGGTGCGGGGATGTGGGAAAGTTACAGAGGCGATTTGGCCTCCTTCATGGTTTTGTTGAGGCCTGGCCCCAGTGATTCAGCCCCTGGGGCTGCCATCACCCTCACCTCGTCAGGAACCATGATCAGAGGGTACTTGTCCTCAGACAGGAAATTGAACAGGCACCAGAGGCGGAAGGCATCCTCATTGGAGAGCATGTTGTTCCCGTTGCTGTCCACCCGATAGTTCTTCTTGGCCGTCAGGGTCCAGCACAGCTCATCAAAGTGCTCCTTAACGAAAGCCCCCTCCTCCACCTGCCACCAGGCCTGCAAGTCAGCCAAAACGGCCACCCCATCCTTGCTCTACCACCAAACAAGGCTCTAGGGGCTTTCTTGGGGTCACCTACTCCCCTGCTCCCTACCCTGCCAAGTTGGGGCTCTGACTTGAGTAATCCCTGAGCTGCTTACCAGGTAACTAGCTGATTCCAACCACCCACCCCCTCCCCCCTCCCCAGTCCCCTGCCAATAGAGAAACTGGTCCCTCAGCCCAAGGGAGAAAGAAGGGGAGGGCAAGGGGGTGGGGATGCACGACCGTGAAGAACCTGAGAAGAGAGTGACAGCTGGGAGGAGCAGGGGGCACAGCACTGGGGGACACTGGAGAGCCCTACAGCTAGAAATGGGAGGTGAGCCTAGGCAGGGATGGGGTGGAAGGGTGGAGGCTAGGATAGAGGTGAGGGAGATGGAGGGGGGAGTTGGGGGGGCAAGGAGGGGACAAGTGGCTGGAATGTGAAGGACGGAGATGGGAGGGCAGGGACAGACAGCAGGGACAGACAGCAGGGACAGAAGTGGGAGTTGAGAGGGTGGGAGGAGTTGGGGTGGCAATGTGTCGGGGCACTGGCCAGACTGGGAAGTGGGGACAGGTGCCCCCTCGAGCAAGGCCCCACCTTGTCCAGGATGTACTTGTTGAGGTAGGGCATGTATCCCTGGCTGGACACGGGGCCGTCGTCATCATCCCGGAAGTGCTCCTCCAGAGCCACGGGGTCGTGGGGGATGTGCAGGACCGTGTACAGGTTGTGGGACAGCACCTGAGACAGAGTGGCAGTTGGCCTTCCCATGCCCCGGCCAAACCTGGGCTAGAGGGCTGCTCCCACCTCCCGGCTTGTCCCCATTCCCATCCTGGCTAAGTCCTCCGCACACATTATTCAATTCAATCATAACCAAAACATAGGCATTTGTATACAAGGGAATATTATTCAGCCATACAAAAGAAAGACATCTTGCCGTTTGTGACAACAGGGGTGGACCTTGAGGGCCTTATGCTAAGTGAAATAAGTCGGAGAAAAATATATACCAGATGATCTCACTTATATGTGGAATCTAAAAAACAAATTAACCCTCCACCCCCACCCCAAGCTCATAGACGCAGAAAATGGATTGGTGGTTGCCAGGGGCAAGGGTAGGGGTGGGTGGAATGGGTGAAGGAGGGTCAAAAGGTACAGCTTTCGGTTATAAAATAAGTCATGAGGAGGTAACACACAACATGGAGACTATAGTTAATAATACTGTATGGCCTATCGGAAAGTTGCTAAGAGTAGATCTTAAAAAATTCTCATCCCAAGAAAAAAAGTTTTGTAACTATGTATGGGATAGATGTTAACTAGACATTGTGGTGATCATTTCACAATTATTTACAAATACCACATCATTATGTTGGACATCTGAAACTAATATAATGTTGTATGACAATTATACCTCAGTAAAAACAAAAAAACCTAAAACCGTACACCCTTACTATGCACCAAGCACTGAGCTAAGCACATTATATATAATTCACTTAACCCCCATAACCACTGTTAATATCCCCATTTTACAGATGAGAGAAAAGAGCTGGGATTCAAACCCAAGCAGCCATGTTCTCAGCCACTTCATTGGGTAGGGATGTCCTCTTTGTGCAGACAAGGACACCGAGGCTCAAGAGATTCGATAAATTGCCCAAGGATCCACAGTGAGCAAGAGTCTGGGATTCAAACCCAACTCCGCAGATCCCAAAGCCTAGGTGCTTCCTAGGATGCTGGGCTGTCAACAGGGAGGTGGCTGTCACCCCAGGGCAGGAACCCCGAATTTCTCATCATTCCCATCAAAGACTCAGGGTTCAGGCTGCAGTGTGTCTGCTCCAGGAAAGGCAAGTGCAGTTCCAGTCACTGCCCTTCAAAGATGGAAGGGAGCTGGAGGGGGCTCAGAGAAGGCTCACGAAAAATGGTCTGTGACATGTGGAGGAAAAGGCCTAGAACGGCTGGTGGCCAGGATGGTGTGGAGGGGAAACATGAGTTGTTAACAAACCCACAATATAAGAACAAAGATTGAAGTCTGAACAAGATCAGGAAAGAAATAAAATTGCCTTGGGGGTACTTCTGTCATAGTACTTATCCCAGAGTGAATGATTAAACTACTCGTTACTGGGGCACCTGGGTGGCTCAGCCGGTTGAGCATCCGACTCTTCATTTCTGCTCTGGTCCTGATCTTGGGGTCGTGAGATCGAGCCCCGCATCGGGCTCTGCACTGAGCGGGCAGTCTGCTTGCGATTCTCTCTCTCACTCTTCCTCTGCCCCCCACCTCCCCTCCCCGGCTCGCACACACACTCTCTCTCTCTAAAAAAAAAAAAAATAATAATAATAATAAAATAAAAAATAGGGGCGCCTGGGTGGCTCAGTTCGTTAAGCCACTGCCTTCGGCTCAGGTCATGATCCTGGAGTCCCGGGATCGAGTCCCACATCGGGCTCCCTGCTCCACGGGGAGTCTGCTTCTCCCCCTGACCCTCCCCCCTCTCATGCTCTCTCTCTCTCTTTCATTCTCTCTCTCAAATAAATAAATAAAAATAAAATAAAAAAATAAATTTAAAAAAGTAAAATAGTCATTATTGCACACCTACTATGTGGCAGCCACTGTATGAGATGCGTTCTATACCCCATGTCTAACCTGCGCAACAACTGTGATACACAGACACTATCCCTGTTTTTCAGATGAAGATGCTGAGGCTTGGGGAAGTTCAGAGCAAACAGCCGAGCTGAGCTTGCAACCAGGTGTGCCTGGCCCTGAAGGCTGCCTCACTATTACAGTGCTGACCCTGAGACTCTCTCTGCAGGTAGATGGTGAACTCTGGGGACAACGTCTCTGTTCATCTCCATGTCCCACGGCCCCTACGTCCTCTTCTGCCCCCGAAAGGCAGTCAATGAAAGCTGTATGTAAGGGCTGCTTCCCCAGTTAAGCTTAGAGTCAGTTCCTGGGGCAGGAGCTGGTAACATCCCAGAGGTGGTACGCGAGCCAAATCTGCACTTCTTTATTCCCTGGTGAGAAGAGGTGGGACAAAGGATTGACCCCCCCCCCCCCCCCCCCCCCGGGTAATCTCCTGAGCCTCAGGCTCCACTGAGGCCAAGTGGGAGGTTGGTAGGCCCAGCAAGAGGGGTGCTTCTCTTTTCCGTCACTCCCCTCTGGGCAGCCATCTCTGACCGCCACCCCCACCCTCATCCCCACGCTCTTCAGATCATCTCCTGTGCCAGGTTTGGTTCTGCTTCTCTTGTTCTAGAGGACATCTTCAGTTTCTTCCTGACGAAGTCGGCCCTCTCCACCCATATTTGGTAATGGAGCCTTAATTTTTCTTGGAGAAGCACCTCTCCCCCCATTCTCAGTATCTGTGGTACGGACTATTTGCACCCCTAACCCACCTGGCTGCAGGGGTGGGCACATCAGAGTCACGGTGATTGGCTCAAGGAAGGGCACATGACCAATCCTGGGCCAATGAGAATCAGCCCTATGATTTTGGCTTCCTCTGGTGAAAAGAGGTATACGCTTCCCATGAAATTGTTAAGCTGTTGGAACGGAGATAAACATCTTCACCTTCCGAGCCTCAGTTTCACTGTCAGCAAAACAGTGGGATAATACCTGTCCTGTGGAGAAGCTGTGAGGATAGAGTGAGAGGACATATGGAGACAGCCAGAATTAGATGTGCACAGAGCAAATGTTAGATCCCTTCCTGTAGACAAAATGCGGTTTTTTTACCTAACGAATTGACATAGATCAGAAGACTGATAACATCAGGTACTGAAGAGGTTGTGGAGAAATAGGGACTTGAAGGCCCTACTGTTGAGGCGTGAATTGGTAATCTTTCTGGAGGGCAAGAATGTATCAAACTTAAAATTGGGAATGATCCCAGCATTTTTTTCCCAAGATTTATTTATTTAAGAGAGAGAGAGAGTGTGTAAACTGGGGGAGGGGCAGAGGGAGAGGGGAAGCGGACTCCCCGCTAAGCGGGGAGGGCTTGTTCTCCCAACGCGGAGATCATGACCTGAGCCAAACCAAGTTGGTCGCTGAACCAACTGCGTATGCTCCACCCAGGCGCCCTGCCCCCTGCATTTCTAATCATCTAACCTGTAGATGCTCAAGGGAACAGAACTACATGTACAAGAATGTTCACTGAGGCATGTTTATAATATGAGGAACTGGAGACAGCTTGAGGCTCCTTCAGTAAGGGCCACACATGGACCTATGTGTGGTTGGAAAGATTTTATACATCTGCCACTTGTGTGCTACGGGCAAGTGATTTTCTCTAAGACCTTGGTGTCCTCTGTGAAGATTATAAGGAGGCCTAGTCTGAAGGGTTTTTAGAATGAAGAGCTTAGCACAGCACCTGGTGCGTAGCTTATTGTTTAATAAAATTGTGTGCTATTTTTATTATGTTTTTACAAACAGACATGGGAAGATAGGCGGCATGCTATAGTGGCTGGTGAAAAAAGCAAGCTATAGAATGAAATGTTTGTAAAATAAATGTGTGCAAAGATTAGGTTGAACCATAGCACATTTTAATAGATGCTTTAATAGATTGAAACAATAAAATGTCAGCAATTTCATACGGTTCAACCTAATATGTTTATGCGTACATAGAAAAAAATCTAGAGGACTCAGCAAACTGTTACCAGCTATCACCCCACCATCCTTCCCCAGGGAGGGGCGGAACTTTCACCATCTTTTTTTTTTTTTTTTAAGATTTTTGTTTATTTATTAAGAGAGATAATGATAGAGAGAGAGCATGAGAGGGGGGAGAGTCAGAGGGAGAAGCAGGCTCCCTGCTGAGCAGGGAGCCTGATGCGGGACTCGATCCCGGGACTCCAGGATCATGACCTGAGCCGAAGGCAGTCGCTTAAACAACTGAGCCACCCAGGCGCCCTCATCATCTTTAACGTTACATTTGTCTTTGAATTTTTTTAACCAGTAACATGTTTTACTTATAGAATAAATTTCATCTTCTTTAAAATTATATTCTTCTGCACTCTGATTTTTTTTAAACAGGAGCATATATTGTTTTTAGGACAAAAATTTAAAACTACAGAGATAAAAAGCAAAGAGTGCCATTAACCACTGTTATTAATGTACCCTGTTATTAAGTTGCTCTATAATAACATTCCTTTGCTGTTCCCTTTTTGTGTGAGCATTTCTGGGTGCTCGACATTCCTGGAGGGCAGCAAGGACTCTGTGTTCAGGCCTGATTCCAGATCTCAGTACGATGTCCTGCACACGATAAATGTTTTTGACCGACTCCTCAAGTTTCACTTAAACGCTCCAATGGTTTCCTGTTGTTCTCAGAGTAAAATCGCAAGTCCTTCCAGAGGCCTTGGGCCCCCTGAGACCCAGCCTGCTGCACCTTCTCTGGCTTCATCCCTCTTGGTCACTTCTCTGCAGCTACTCTGACCCTCTTGACATTCCTCAGCCGGGCCAGGCACACATTTGCCTCAGGGCCTTTTCGCTTGCTATGCCTTCAGCCTGGAATATTCTTCTCCCAGGTCCAGGCATGGCACACACCCTCCTCTCCTTTCCATCTTTACTTAGATGCCCCCTTCTCAAGGAGGACTTCTCTGGACCCCCTTAATTAAATCTATAACCCCATCCCCTCTACCGCCCCCACCAATCTCTATCCCTGTTTCTGCTTTATTTACTTCCATGTCATGTATCATTTTCCATCACATGATACATTTTTACTTATTTTGTTTTTCATCTGTATTCTCTGACTAGAATGTCAGCACCTCAAGGGTGGCAATTTTTGTCCCTTTTATTCACCTCATTCACTGCTATGTCACTGGGTCTGGCACATAAGGGACACGCAATAAATATCCGTTGAATGAACTTAAATGCTTCACGGGAAGAAGTAGGAGAAATACAAAAGTCAGACATGGACTGAATCTCTCTGGGCAACTTAACCTCACTGGGCCTCAGTTTCCATAGGTCTGAAAACGGGGTTCAAAGAGATGATGTACAAACCCCCATCCCACCCCAGGAGAGAAGGGACCACACAGCGGCACAGTTATTTGGAGCTGTTCCTTGCCTTGGTTCGTTCGTCCACACTGTCCTCTAAGACCGGCCTTCCTCACCTGTACCTTTTGCCAGTGGAATCTCAGGGGCCCGGGACAGAGGCTCCAGTCCCTGTGAGCCATCAGGTGTCAGGACATGAAGGAATTAAAGGCTCCAGACACCGGGGGCTCAGGGCCTCTCCCCAGAGAGCTCGGCAGACCTCAGACTGCCAGGCTTCCTGTGCCTGGGCTCGGGTTGGGGCTAGAGGTGGGGAGAGGGTGTGACCAGAGGAGGGTCACCCTGGAAAGGAAATGGCAGGGGTGGAGGCCAGAATGTGCAGGAGCCCAGGGGGCTGATTTCAATCAGTCCTCAGCCCTGGAGCCAGGGACTCTCATTACCCTCCTTTTATAGACGAGGAAATCAAGGCGCAGAGAGGTAAAGTGTCTTCCTGCAAGTCTGCCTCTAAAGGCCTGCTCTTGATCTCTCCACTACATTAGCTCTGGCTGAGCCTCAGAATCACCTGGGGAGCTGCAGAAACTGACTGGCGCTGGGGCCCCGCCCTCCTGACTGACTCAGAGTTTCCAGGGGTGGGTGGGGTCCAGGTGTCTGTAGTTTTCACAAGGCTGCCAGTGGGGTCCTTCAGAGAGGACTCTCTCACAGTCTCACTGCCCAACCAGGCAGCCCCTGACCGTCGAGCTGGCAGCCATTGACCTTCGAGAGGCTTCATTGACGCACCGTTTCCTCTGAAGGCATGTGGGGAAGTGGTTCTCTTCGGGGGGCTTGTGAGTTCCCTGAAAACTCAGGTGTGGGGATGGGGCAGATGCTGGCCTGTGGTTCTGTGGTTCCCAGCCTTTACTGGACGCGTATAGGACGGGTGTGGGAACCCATGCACAGCACCAACTGATGGCTACAGACAGAATGAATAATCTCTCTCTCGCCTAGATGGCCTATAGTGTTGTGTTTGTTTTTTTTTTTTATGTATCTAGGTGCCAGGTGATTTTTTGTACAATATACAGATCCTTTTAAGAGTTACTGAATGTATTTTACTAAAGCATAACTACTATCACGAGGGAGGAGCACTGGGAATTTTAAAAGGTGGGAATCTCCGGATGAGCTGTGTGCCTGCTAACAGCAAGAAAGGGCTAGAAGGGGTTGGGGGGCGCCTAGGTGGCTCAGTCAGTTAAGCAGCTGCCTTCAGGTCCTGGGATTCAGCCCCGCATCTGCATCCTCGCTCCCTGCTCAGCAGGGAGCCTGCTTCTCTTTCTGCCCCTCCCCACCTTTCCTGCTCTCTCTTGCTCTCTCTCACATAAATAAATAAAATCTTGAAAAAGAAAGGGCTAGAAGGGGTTGAGGGTGGGCACCAAAGGAAAGACAGGCTTGGAAAAGGGAAAGGGGAGGCTGCATCAAGGGTCAATTTCATCTACTTGATGTACTTTGTTAAAATTTCTTTTAGTAGGCTAGCTGGTGATCCCCAGTTCAACCCTCTGCCTTTACAGATGAGAAACTAGAGGTTCAGAGACAGCGATCACTTGCCCAAGGTCATCTAGCTGGGGAGCAGGCCTATGTGGCTCTGAGTCAAGTGCTCTGCACATCACTAAATCATCCCGTCACTCCCTGCCATCCTAGCCCGAGACCAGTGGCAGGAAGGGGTCAGAACAAAGTTGAAGATCGTGGGCTCCTGGGTGGCTCAGGTCATGATCCCGGGGTCCTGGGATTGAGCCCCGCATTGGGCTCTCTGCTCAGTGAGGAGCCTGCTTCTCCCTCTCCCTCTGCCTGCCGCTCTGCCTACTTGTGATCCCTCTCTCTCTCTCTCTCTCTCAAATAAATAAATAAAATCTAAAAAAAAAACAAACAAAAAAACAAAAGCTGAAGACCCCAGCCAGCAGATTCCTGGACTGGAGTTGCTCTTGACTTGCCCTCCACCAAAATGAAGGTTGTCGTCCCCCTCCCTGCCTGCCCACCCTGGCTCCTGCTAGCCAAGGGTAAGGGGCAGGACTGCTGCCTCCTAAGGGCTCACTGAGCCAGAGACACACTGCTCCATCCACATCCCCAATTGCAGGGCCATTACCCCAATTCTCAGCTGACTCCCCACTAGGCCTGGAACCAAGGCTGCTCCCCAGAGAAGAAGATGTGGCCATTAGGAAACCCATGATTGCCAAGGCTCTCCTCCTTGCTCTCCCTCTGGCAGGACCACTACTGCCTCCCAAAGGTCTTTAGAGAAGGAGGTTCTGGGGACCCTGGGAAAACTCACAGTCCTCAACTCCTGGGAAATTCTGTGCTCCACCTGAATCCATCCTGGGCAGAAGTGCCATGCCTATGGGTCTCATTCTACTTTTCTCAACTCACCTGGACAAAGGCCATGGTACCTTCTACAAGAATACAAACAGAGGAAAACCCATCCGCTCTGCCGCCCAAGCCTTCTCTTCTCCAGAGAGAAAATCATGACGCGCTGGGCTACTTGTCAGACGCCTCCCTGCTCTTCCTCCTCCCTCATCACGGCTTTGCCCCTGAGAGCCAGCGGCAGCCCGAAGCATCAGGGAAGCGGGGACTGTCACGGACAGACGTTGCTCGCTAGGCGGGTGCACGTCTCCCTGCCTGGTCCCGATCCAGGGCCCTGAGGCCAGGGACAGTGTTAGTGAGGACAGACTAACCCCAGGGTCTTTTCCCTTCTCCCACGAGTCTTTTCAGGGGTGGGGTTGGCCCCCGCTGCTATCTCTCTCATCTGCTTCTTCCTCTGACTTCTGACCACTTCTCTTTTGCTCCTTTGTCTTTCCGGCATCCCTGCCCCCAACACGATCACTACTTCCTCCTATTCCAGTATCTCCCACTATGGTCTCAGGGAAGAACTGCCTTGCCTATCCTTCTCTGGTGTGACATGGGCCCTACCATGTCTCTGCCTCACCGACCACCCAGCCCAAGACTCCCGTGGCTTGGCACAGATTTCCAGAGTGGACACGTTTTCTGTTGAGTGGGGGAGAAAGCTCCCTGCTCCTGTGTGACCAAAGGCTGCTGGCTGTGGGCTCAATTTGAGCTGTGATGCGGTACAGACGGTGGACAGTTCAAGGATGTAAGCTCCTAATAGAATCTTCCCTGCAAATACTCGACCTGTGGGGGTGGGGAGTGGGCATCGATCCAGCTGGAGGCCAAGAAAAGAGGGTCAAGGTAGGAAGCCTTACTGGCTGATGGCACCAGGAAAAGGGGAATCACTTTCCACATGTGAGAGGTGGGCATAGAGAGCCTGGGGAGGTTATAGGGGCTGCAGGTAATGGAGACAGAAAATGGTACCTTGGAGATAAACTATGGAGGTTGGGATTGTTCCTACAAGATGGGAAAGGCAGTGGGAGGTGGATGTAGGGCACGGGTTTCTGTAGGGATGGATTTTGGATGATCTGCTATTCTCCTGTCTATCCTGAAGCCCCCACTAGATGACATGATCTGCAATAAAAGGTTTTACGGAGAATGTAAGGAAGAACCTGCCTTATTGAGGAATCCTCCCTGATGATCAAAGGTAGTAGTGGACTATTTTTCCTGGGGGAGTCAAGAATCATTTTTTGGATGCTCATAAGTCTGGCTAAGGGACAGATTATGGGATAGGACCAGTTTGGGATATCCAAGTTTATTGTGTCCTAGTTCAGCAAAGGAGGGGGCTGGAATGGGGGCGGTGCATAATGCCTATCCTGCCTTATTCATCTCGCCCACGTTTGCAGTCACCTCCTACACCTTGGTCATTAAAAATGGAGGTTTCCTTGACACCAGAAATCTAGAGCCTAGCATCATGCCAGGCACATGGTCACTCAGTTAACATGTGAACGGAATGAATAATCCCTTAAGGCAAGTCACGGAGAGTTGAGGCTTACCCTGCTCCTGTCTCCCAGTGTTCCCTGGTTCCAGTGGCCTGGGGCCTTGCTTCTTCCCCACTAACCAGGGTGGAGAAGGCAGCACTAAGCCAGGACTGGAGGGAAGGAAGGAGAGAAACTTGCTGGTCTCCCAGGAATTGTTTAGGTCCAAGTACTGAACTGTAGGGCAATCACTGATGGGGCTCTTCCTGGGCTCACATTCGAGCCCCTCCCTGTCTGAGGTCCCAAGGCCAAAGGGAGCAGTTTCCCAACCTGGCGTGTGGGAGGAGGGGGCGGTGAGCTGGGCGGCCCGGGGCAGAACAGGGTCTCGGTCCTTGCCCCTTCCTAGCACTGTTGCATCTGGGAGACAGGGTTCAGAGGAGCTGTTCTCTGCCAAAGGTGACCCAGTCAGCCTGGTCTGGAACTGGGACAGGCTCTTTAAGCCTCTCTCTCAGCTCCGGGAGGAAGTGACTGACAAGTACTAACTAACTGTCTCTCTTCAAAGCCAGGAGGAAGCAGCAGGAAGGAGTAGGGTGCGTACCTAGGCTTCACTCTGGGGAGACGTGCGCTCATCACACGGAGTATAGGATGTAGCCTGGCCTGTTGGCCTTCAAAACCTAATGATGCCAACTCCACCCTCCAGAGAGTCCGGGGAGCAGGTCTCTGGGCAGAGGCTCCGCGTCTACCTCCGGGGGGCCCCAGAACATGGGCAGCAGCATTCACTGGGCTGCGTCGTCCTGGTTACCCAGTCCCGGCTCCCCTCCCCAGGCCTGGGCCTCTGGATGGCTGAGTGCCATCAGCACAGCGTTCCTGCCTGGCTCCTGGGCGGCAGGGGCTGAGGAGGCACGTCTGCCGGCCTCCCCTGGGCCCCGGGGGCTCCTCACCTTGAGCTGGGACTTGGAGACCTTGCCGCTCTTCTCCACGTCCAGGGCGGTGAACGCGTACCAGATGGACTTGAGCAGCTCCTTGCGCAGGGCCATGGCTGAGGTGCCCGCCCGGCCCGGGGGCGGCTCTGACACCGAGATCCGGTTTCAGGAAATGCAAACGGCTGCAGAGACCGCAGAGGGGCCATGGCGCAGAGCAAGAGCTCCACCTGCCTGCTTGCGCGGGCTCCCTGTGCTGCCAGGAACAGGCCTGTTGCCCTTGCAGTGCTCATGGCCTCACTCTCTGCGTGGGACCTCGGAACCCAGCACGGGAGAGCCAGAGCCCTGCTTCTGTTCAGTGTGGCTCCCCGAGCGTGCGGCCCTCGAGAAGTCTTCTCAGCCCCAGAAACTTCTGGGGCTTCCTGGGCTCCCAGAGGCAGCTTGTTGAGGGGAGAAGAAAAAAAAAAAAAGCAAGCCCACCCTGGCTTTCAGAGGGTGCAGGTAGAGGGTATCCTGTCTCACTTCCACACTTACCAGGCAGGAGGCCTTGGATGAGTTACTACTAACCTCCTTGAGCCGTTCCCTCATGGGAGAGCAGGAAAAATACCCACCTCACACAGCCCTAAGGTCCGAGGATGGATGTGAAGCAGAGCAGGCACTGGATAAAAGCATTTCTTTCAGGGCCATCTAACATCACTACGGTGGTGGGGCTCCTCCCAGGCGGAAGAAAACAAAGGCGACGACACAAAGTTGGCGGAGGAACTGGGCCAGGGCACCCCTCCAGGTCAGGCGGGCTTGGCACGTGATTGGTTGCCTCCCCATCCTCTGGGCTTTGGCTCGAAAAGGCCTCAGCTCAGAGCGTGGCCCACTCTGGGGCCCACTGGCCCTGAGGATGCAAGCCTGTTTCTGAATCACACAGTGGGGGGAGAGGCGTAAAACGGGGGCGGGGGGGGGGCAGCTCCCAGGGTGCTGACAGCAGGAGGCTTGGCACTCAGGGGCCCCCCACGGCATGATCGCTTTCTTCAGATCCACTGCCTGTGAGGGCCGGGACACGCTTCCACCCAGAACAGTGGTCATGGATGCTGGATGAAGCCTGCTTGGGTAACCGAGCCACCCCCTCCCTGGGGGCATGCCCCAGCTCCCTCAGCTTCCACAGAGCTGCTGGCACGAGTACACAGAAGAGGAGAGGGTACCTGGGCTGGGGGGTAGGGTTCCATTCCCAGGTGGCAGGAAGGGACTGGGGCGCATCCGTCATCGTGGGGAGAGCAAGAGGCCCCTCCAATCCCAGCAACGCTCCCGTGACGGAGGAGGCAAACTCAAAGAGTTCTTCCCATCAGGTCCCCTCCCCTGCATCCCTCCCTTCCCACCAGGGCTGGTCTGGTCCTCCCACACACTTTCCACTAGGGTCCAATGGTGGCTTTGGGATTCCACAGCATGGTCCCTGACACCTCCCTGTGGGCATCTCCAGAGCTGGGACTTCAGCACCAGAGTCATCAGAGACCCTCGCTAACCTTGGCAAGGCACCTCCTACCCATACTCCTCGGTGGGGCTCTGCCCACTTGGAGCAGCTGACCATGCGCAGAGTGAATGTGGGAAGGGGCTGGGTGCGGAAGGGCTCTGTATCACACGAGGTAAGGTAGGAAAAAACACAATTCCTCTAGTCCAAACACCCTGATGCCTGAGATCCAACCAGAGCCTGGAAGCAGGGGTCACCCTGGGTCCGTCTGGCCACCCTGGGGCCCACCTGCTCAGGTGTGGGCAGGAAGTCACTGGTGGCTCCTCGGGGCTTTTCTTACTCCTGGGCTTCCTCCTCCCCCCCACCCTCCCCCCCGGTGCCTCTGGTAGGCCAGTCCCACCAGTCTGTCACCGAGGCTCGCTGGGGTCGTGCCAGGGATATGGGGCTAAGAGCCTGATTCGACCAGCCCTGGTATCCTGGGCCCAAAGCCGAAAGGAGGGAGGGAGGGAGGGACCCAGGTGGAAACTTGGAACTTTTATTAAATACTCATTCACCCATTTGCCACCACCAACCAGAGCAAGAAAAAAAATTATCAAAATGGAATTTAAAAAAACAAACAAAAACAAATTAAACCCAGTCCCCAGTATGTACAAGGCCACTCACTGCTTCTCTGCCACAGAGAGGAGAGGGGGCGGCTGGGGGTGGGTGGGGCTGGGCACCTTTTCTCCAGCCACAGGCCCCTGAGCGGTTCTGACCATGGTGGCAGGAAACCCTGCTGCCAAGTGGCCAGGCACCATGGCAGGCTTCCAGGGAGGTGGTTATTGCTGGGAGGAGCAGAGCTGGATCTGCCCTACTCCTACTGGGCTGAAGAGCGGTCGGCCCCTTCCACTGGTGGGCAGTGACCAGTCAGAACAGAGGACCAGTCCCCCCACAGCAGTCCCAATCGCCATCTGAGCGGGGGAGTGGACTGAGGGTAGGAAGCGTGTTCTCTGGAGGGAGGAGAGTGGGCACCCAGCTGATTCTGAGGAGGGGACGCCCCAGTACAGCCTGGCGATCAGCTTGTCCTCTTTAGCTCCTGAGGATGGCACACTCCTCCGAGTCCAGCTGTGCAGCCCTCCTCTGGGGCAGGGCCCCCGTCGTCCCCTTCAGTTAGGCTGTTCTCCTGCCGCCGTCTCTCCCTGGAGACCTCTGTGGCCACCTGCCAAGTGTCGGCCACAGCCCCGGCCCTTGGAGGCAGGGACGCCTGTGTGGCATGGCACCTCCTCCAACGTGGTGTGGAATCCAGCCCCCTGGGACTCAGCAGCCATTCTCTGCCTCTGTGGCCTCCAGGGTCACGGCCCCTTGCTGCATGGCAGCGGTGGCCACGCTGATGGCCTCCTCTAAGGTCTGCTGTTCCTCCAGCTGCGGAGAAGGGGGCAGAGAAGCAAGGAGAGAGTGAGACACTCCCCACCAGATTCTAGTGCTAGCGAGTATGTGGCCTACTGTTCTGAATCCCCTCCATTCGCCCAGTGCCACATACTGAGCACTTAGCGGGGCCCCCACGAACGGCAGCTTC